GGGCGGTCGCGCTGGACTCGCCCGGGAAAAATTAAAATGAAGTTGTGGCGGTGGAGATGTCAGGTGAAGTTGTGCTTGCACCCGCGCCCGTCCCGTCCCAGCCGTTTGCAGGAGGCGAGTTCCCGGGGTTGTGGCTCAGCCTGAGGGGCGCTTGGTTTGGCCCGGCTTTCGTAAAAAAACGGGAGGTCTCCAAGAGCCAACAGGGCTTTGGGAGAAAGCGCAGAACAAAATCTGTGCCCCGCAAGAAATACACTAAATTCTGCGGGGTTTTTATCGCTTTGTAATCGGTGCCTTTCAGTTTAGCGTCTGTGCTATATTTCCTATGTATAATTTTGTTTGAGAAATAGCATTCCCTCATAGCTTTTTGTCTTGTCTTTCAGGGAGGCAGTTGCTTTCCGGTAATAGTAGAGGAACGTGACACTGAAGGAAAACACACCAACAACATCCTTAGTAGTCGGAGCCTGATTCTTTCTTCTTAATGTTGGTTTCTTTGTCATCAGGTCTGCTAAAAAATGACAGAATATAAACTTGTTGTTGTTGGAGCTGGTGGTGTAGGCAAGAGTGCTTTGACAATACAGCTAATTCAGAATCACTTTGTGGATGAATATGACCCTACAATAGAGGTAAACAATTCCATCTTACACTTTTCGTGAAGAGAAATTATTGGTAATAACGGTAGTAGTTTGCTTTTGGACAGTTACCACAAAAACACAGAACAAGGCTTTATAATGAAAAGAGCTCAAACATAATGATCAGCGTCAGACCAGCATGGGAGAGGGAATCACTGTGCTTCTTGATATGGCTGTGGAACAACGGCTACAGTAAAAAACCAATTTTGATCAATTAAAATGTAGTGTTAATTGCCATGTTTTGTTGGACAGTGTGGATGCATGTTTCAGTGCAAAGTATTTGCCAAATTCACTTAAAAATGCTTGGCAAAGCTTCCTGGCTTTGCATGTAAGCAGTTAAATGTGGTTCCTTTTTGATATCAAGAAGGAAAATCTATACTTATGAAATGTATGCATCAAGATTTTGCAGCTCCTATCGTTAGGATCTGTTTCACACAGTGAGAAGTGTGTCCTGGAATGTTACGGTGAATGGAGCAAAAATTCTGATTATTGTTTTTAACACACCTCTGCGTGTTTCCATATCTAGAAAAAAATAAGATCGCTGTTGTAGTGGATTATGTGAAATACATGGTACAGTCCCTCAGAATCTGAAATTGCAACTTTTAAAGCTTTAATACAATATTTTGAAGGTTTTTAATGAGCAGGCAAGCTCTGCCTCTTAAATAGAAGATGCTAGTGTTGACTGAAATAGTCTGGATTGTTTTAATAACCTCAGACCGTACAAAAGGAGAAATGACACTGTAATTTATCCAAGGTTTTTATGTTCCTAGCACTGAAGCTCTGTAGCTTATGACTTCATTTATGTGTTTGTACAATGAAGCACTTCCAAGCTTACTTGAAAGAATCAAAAGGGTTTAAGTCTAGGCTTAAAATGGTGTCAGAAAATGGCAATGCAATCATTTTCAGATAGACATAAGCAAAAGGAGCCAGTGCCCTGAGATGGTAGGAAGCTGTCTTACTTGAGTGAAGTACAAGCCTGAGTTAATGTCCTCCAAAGAGAGATGTGTTGGCTTGAGTTTGAGTTTACCTTAATGTGCCTGTGTCTCTGTTGCATGGCCAAGTAACCTCATGTATGCTTGTAGAGATTCTGTGAATAGACCTGTGGAGTGTTTGACTTGCACTAGCAGAGCAGCTCTTTCAGTTACTAAGATGGGAATCTTAAAACAACAAACCAAAACACACTTGAACAGCAAACACAAAATTCATTGAGAGGAACAAGCAAAATCGGATTTTATTTTTTCCTGCACAAGGAACTTCAGAGGATGTTGGACTTTGTAATGCTTGTTTATAATCATCTGGGTTTCTCTTGGGTTAGGGGTGTGTTTATGCGTTACAAAGAGTACTGTGCAGGTTTTGTGTTATAAATTGTCATATAAACTGTGAAAATTTTGGAACACAAAAACTTAAATGCCAGTATTCTTAAGTTACTTGAGGGATTTTGCTAATCAATAAGCTGAGTATTTTTAGGAATACCGAATACATTTTAATGTAAAATAATAAGAAATAACAGTTTCTTATAGGAAGAACCTGAAATCCCAGAACTATGGCTTTTATTTTGTAGTGTGCAGGATGTCTGTAACACTGTGTTATGGTCCAGAATCAGTATGTTCTCAAAGAAAGAAACCTTTGACCTAATGGGCTTTACCGGTGTCCACAACTTGTTGCATGCAGCAGTATCGATCTTTTGCAGCTCCTGCAAGTTCTTGTCTGAGTAGTAGCTATCATTTTTGTCTTGTAAATTCTGAGACCTTGAGATTGGAGACTGTATCTTCTTACTTGCTGTAAATCACCTTGTGTGTGCTCACAGTGCTATAATCATGTAGGTAAACTTGTAGGGAAGAAATAATTCAGTTACAGTAAGAGTGGTCTGTGATTTAAAGTGGCAAACAGGTTGCAGAGAATGGGCTTGTAATTGGATTTAAATCCTTCAGTCCTTGCCTGGGCAGAATCCTGTTCTGTTGAGAAAGGTTGCTTGGTTGTGCTTCCTGGATAGATGCAGTTGTGGAGGTAGGGGCTCATCAAAGAACAATAGCTGTAGAATGCACTTTATACAGTATGAGGAAATAAAGCTGAAGTTGCTTCAACTGGTAAATAATAATAGTTAAGATGGTTCAGTAGTGTCACTGCTATTCTTTCTCACTGCTGTTTCTTTCATTGCCTTGTGGCTGTTGCCAAAATACTCATTTTCCCTTGCAGGAAATGTGTAGACAGAGAAGGGAGTTCAGTGTTTGTTACCTACAGCTGTTAACTACATAATTATTGAATAATTTTAAATCTTTCCTTTGTTTAACAAACTGAAACTCAACACTTCTAAAATTCTCATGTTGTAAAGACATGATGCAGTTGGAGAGGGAAAAATATACTAGTTACTTAATCACAGATGCATTTACATCTGTGATTGTTGTTGCTGTTATCAGTGGAATAGACAATGATTCAAGAAATCAAACTTGTTTGGAAAATGTCAAGTTTCATGGCCTGCTTGAATATTTTATTTACTTAATCCAAGCATAGCAGATGATGGGGGACAGGGGGAGGCTTTAAAATGAGTGTATGTTTGACTGGCTACTGTTATTCAAATATATTGCTTTATATATGTTTCACAATTTTGTATCTTATTTGAAGTAGATGTCCAAGCACAATTTATAGCCAAGCAATTTTAAGTGTTTTTTTTAACAGTATGTGCACTAATGCTTCGAAATCTGGCCTAATACACAGACTAGTTGGACTAGTGCCCTCTCCTGGTCGAGGCTTTTTAAATCTTTATTTGTGATCTCATGTGTGATAACATAATTTAAATTTTTAAGCTTTCTCTACCTTCAGTACATTTTAGTGCTAAATATATGTCATCTTTTAAATGTCTTAGGTAAAGAACATCTTTCCTTGTTGCCTGTCAGAGGCTTTTCAATTGGATTAGCAAAATCCCTCCACTGATTTAGGAATACTGGTATTTAAGTCTGTGTTCTTAAATGACCTATGCACCTCTGAAATTTCCACTAATGTTTAGTAATAGCTTAGTTTTAGTAGCTGTGATACTTTAAATCTCTGGTATAATGGATTTTTATAAAATAATAGTTATGTGTTTGGGTGGGATTTATTAAGCAGTGTTTTTTTAGATAAATTCCATATGTAGCTGAGACTTCATCTCACATTTTTTTTATCAGTGCTTGTGAACAGATGGAATTATTACTTCTTTAGCATAATCCATGCTAATTTTTATGGCTTTGCAAAAGGCCAGTAAGAGCCAGTTAAGTGACTAATGAAATTAAAACTTTTATAATGGAGATATGCTAAGTCTCAGTGCTGGGGGAAAATTGCAGATTCATGTTTGGAGTGTGTACTACTTTGGAACTAACTCTAGTTTGCATTTTGTTTTTACTTAATAGCTTTATACTGGATGTTTCTTCATTGCGTTAATTACTGCAAATCTTCCACTGTGCAGTAAAGCTACTCAATTTTTACCAATCACAGAATTCATAAATTAGAATGGGGTTTTTCTGTTGTTGAAGGGGAGTCTGGCCATTTGGGTTCTGCAATTGCATTTTGAAGCAGAAGTGCCCCAAGTACTACAGTGGCATAACTTTTTGTTACATCCTACATTCATGCAGGACTTTTAAGTTTTACAGTATGGTAACAAATAAACAGATTTTATCTTGAGTATGTTTACAGTGTTATTCACCATGATGAGAGTGGGGGTCCCAGTAGCCTGAGCTTTTAATGTGGTGCTTTAGTTTTCCTTCCTATAGTGACAAATGTGATTTCAGGTTTGATGTTTTGCGGGGATGGGAAGGCAAAAAAGTGAAGTGCTTATTATTTCAGTAGCTTGGAAGGCAATCATAAGCTTATATTTTTCTCTCCCACATATTTCTTTTCCTTCTGTCTCAAATCCCCTTTCTGGTTGGTGACAAAATTTTCTCTCCAGAGGTGGGCAAAACAACTACCATCTCAAAGTGTTCCTTCTTTTTTGTACCTGTGCTGTGCTTTGTGCTGGTGCATCTTTGCTGCTACTGCTAGCATGGTAGGCATGCTAAAGCCAGCAGTTCTTAAAAGTAATTCTCTTTTCTCTTAAAAATTATTTTCTTTGATGAAAATTACTTAAAGCTGTTGTTTAGAGCTCAATTGAGGGGAATTTCATTGCCTTTGAAGTGCTGAGACATAAAGGAATCATACAGGCTTTTCAAGAAACGTTTTTCATATTTTTAAACTAGCAGTAAAAGCTCTGTAAATAAGCCTAGTATGATAGAAGTTTCTCTAGTATTTCACTGTGAACTGTGATAAAAGTATCATAGGATGTGGGGATCTGCTATTGAATTGAAGTGAATTGGAATAAAGCTGTGTCCTTTGGGTGGTTTTTGGGTGTTTTTTTTCCTTGAACAATAAAATAAAAACCTTATTTTAAAACACATTGGAGCTTTTGTATGTCTCATCTGTATCAATATTTAAACATGGCTTATGTTTTTAAGTTACCTATTTCTTACTTGAACACAGATTTTGCACTTCTGTGAAATATTTCCAAAATCATGTTGGAGGTAAACTTCTAGCTTTAAGGTAAACAGTCAATATTGTTTTACCTGATACTGTTAAATGTCATCTAGGCTTCAGATAAATGTGAGATTACAGGGTTTGTTTAGTTTAAGATACTGATTCTGTAAGCAAGAGGAAAGAAGAGAGCCTTTTGTAAAACTACAAATAGATGGAAAGTGCATAGGAATAGGTGTACTGTGCCTTAAAATGGGTACAGAGGAAGGAAGGTCATACTGAATTCATCTTGAAGTTGGCTAGAATTGCAGCTTTAATTCTTTAATTTCCTTCCCCACCAGTAGTTTAGGTTCACTTCTGTATAGTGTTAAAAAGAACAAAGGCAATATTGTGTTAATCTCTAGCTAAGGAATCTGAAAGTATAAATCTGAAGCTTATCCTTTTTATTTGTTACAAGTATTGTTTATGGAGAATAATTCATGGCACTACTCGGTGACCTACTTTTAAAGCTTATTGACATGGTTTTATTTCAAATATATATATGTTGATAGAAATTATTGGGAAAGTAATGCTTATGTTCTTGTCACTAAAACTGTGTACTCGCAGAAGCATAGCACCTAAAAGAGCTGTAAATAGACATTAATATTAATATCTAGTTGCTTGGGACTTTTTAGTGCCGCTTCAGTCAGTGACCTGAAAACTTTGAATTGATAGCATTGAAATAATTTGTTCTAACATCTTTGTGCACCAACCCATCAGGGCTTCTGTAGGACTCTGGTGGTCTGTCTCAGCTAAAAAGCTTGAACTTGAAACATATCAATTCAACTTTCGTAACTTAATAACAAATATAATTATATGCACCTACTTAGGTGAAAAATCAGATTTCCTGTTTCATACACTGAAGGCTTTTTATGCTTAATTTCTTTTTCAAGTGGCATAGATTTTTGGAGTTGTCTTATTTATGTAGTCTCTCTGTTCTGTTCTGTACATTTGTGGCACAACGCTTCCATAAACATCCACAGAAGGAAGGTCAAATTTTACTTTAAGCTTACTCAATCTACCAATATTTTTTTTAAACCAAGTCAAACCTTTTAAAATCAGGATTATGAGTTTCTTCAGTTCTTCTATTAACAGAGACAAAGGGGAGGTGCGTTTAATCTGGATCCAATTTGTACTTTCTATCCTTTTGTGCAAAAGTAAGAAATAAGAACACTGCTCTTTTTCTGTGTGTGTTCACACATATACTATTACTGAAGATTCAGAATAAGAGTACATCCTTTCAGTGCTCTTACTACTTCTGGATTACTGTATACATATAAATATGGGACAATATTTTCCTACTGTCATTTGTCCATCTGTAAAGTTGGATTTTGAGTCTTAAGTGTTTTTTAGTCATGCTGGATTACTAGTGAACAACTTTAATATATCCTGAGTTGTAGGTACTTGAAATCTTGTTTGTGTTTAACCAAGGTTTATGTTTTTTCTCTTCTAGGATTCCTACAGGAAGCAAGTAGTAATTGATGGAGAAACCTGTCTCTTGGATATTCTTGATACAGCAGGTCAAGAGGAATACAGTGCAATGAGGGACCAGTATATGAGAACAGGGGAAGGCTTTCTATGTGTATTTGCTATAAACAACACAAAATCTTTTGAAGATATTCACCATTATAGGTGTGTATATTGAAAGATAATTGACTAACTCTTGTATTGGGTGGATAGGATGCTTGTTCTTCCATTAGGTAATAGAATGATCTCTTATGAAATAGCATCTAAGGGGAGGTTTGCAAATTATCAATACTGCAACTTATTTGTGCATTTGTAGGTCTGGGATTTTGGGTAATTGGAAAATCTGTTGCTTCATTTGCAAGTTAGGCAAAGTATGTGACAGCTCTTCTGGTATAAACTAATGTGACTTAGTATTTCTGCCTATTTATAGTGAAGACTTATCTAAAGGCAAACTGCCCATTCCATAGATAAAATTGTGTGCTAAGATGGAAGAACTTATGCAACTGAAATTGTACAGACAGTAATGTCGATTGTTAGCTTTTTGTTCTTGGAGTGAAGGAGAAATACCTGTGGAATGTTACTAGAAGAATAACATGTGAGTCCTGATGCCTGTGAAGGGCAGATGCACAAAATCAGAGCTCCAGGAGGAATGCTAAAAAACAACTTCTTATTAATTTCTTCATAGTTTCTCTCTTTTTTTTTTATTTTTTAAATAATTTGTTAAAAATGTCAACTCGTATTTTCTGTCAGGTACACAGATATAGATAGTATATAGAAATAGAAGCAACCTTTAGTGATTACCATACCAGATAATTTATAACTTAGTAGTAGCTTACTATTATATACTGAACTGTCCTTGGGTATTCTGTTAGAAGGCAATGCAAATGCCACTTAAGATCACTGAGTTTAGCAGCGTTGGTTTAAGATTAGTCCCAAACACACAATGTTAAGTGATTCATAGTTAGACATTTATAATGCTGTCAGATCTGTGTTGCTGTAGGGTGGAGAAGTGTTTTGCTATCCATATTACCCACAAACCCAACACCTACTCATAAACTGAAGTTGCACATTTTTGTTAACGAAGAGAAGTTACAGTTCCTCATTTAAGGTGGGATACCGTGACAGTTCAAGGTAATCAAAGTCTGCATACATAACTGCCCTGATTGTATAGTTTCATTTTCTCCTGTATGCCAGCAAGGGGGCTTGTTTGATTGTGTAGTGTAGTGATGTGAGTAGCTAAACAGGTCGATGCCTGCCTGCAGAAGTAGTTTACTGCTGGTTTATATCCATGGGGCAGCTATGGGATCAGGGGACTCCTGTTGTGAGAGGCAAAATTGCTGCTTGTTAATCCAGGGAGAGATCAGTATTGAGAATGTGGGCACTTTCTTTCAAGACTGTTTCTTTTTTATGTATTTAAATTGAGCTAGCTAGCAGTGTTTGTATATATTTCATTAGATATAAAATCTTCTAATGGAATGTATTAGTACTGGTGACTTTTTTAAAAAAACAAAAACCAAAAAACTGTTAAGAGTTAGCACAACAGGGATGGCAAAAAAAAACCAACCAAAACCATATCTATTGCTCTTAGAAAACACAAACTTCTCTGTTATCTAACCAGATTCTTATAAATTGATTTCCTTTTGGTTGTAGAGGAAGAAGGGAAAAAGGTAAGATAGATGTTAACGTAAGTGGAAGAAGGAGTATAGAGGTTTTTATGTGGAATTTTTGATTTTTAAAGAGAGTTGCAGATTTGCATAAGAAAGCCTTCCCAGTTTATTTTAAAGAACGTTGCAAGTTGAATGTTGGAGTTTCTAATGCACATTTACACACCTGTGGATGACCTTGCGGACTGAAGCTGAAGGCTTATAAATAACTGACAACAGGGACTATATTAATAAAGGAATATACTGCTAGATTATTTGGGAAGACAAAAGTAATGAAATTAATGATTGTTTGAGATTCTTGACAAGTACATCTAACTAGTATTACAGGATGCTTTCTAACAAGTGTTTGAAAGGACTCATCAGATTTCTCTTTCTAGACAACCAAACCAGTGGTCTTCAAACTTCAAAAACTCCTGTCTAAATGCAGAGTGTGTAGTTGTTGTCTTTAAAAAAAACACAAAAAATAAACCAAAATTGAGACAATGGACGAGTGCTTTTGACAGTGTTTTATCTTAGCAAATTAATTGAATGTTATGAGTGCTGAGTATGAGGGATAGGTAGTAAGTTTTATATCAAAGCTTCTTAGACTTGTTCTGGCATTAGCTGTTAAAACAAAAAAAACACTTAAAAAAAAAAGTGTAATGACATCAAAATCTATAGTAGTTTGCAAAACATCCACTTTTTTTTTAACTAAGATAATGGTGACAGGATTGGTCAGTTTTGGGGTGTTTGGGTGGCTTCTAGTAATGTAGGTGCAGTAAACTAACATAAAGAATGATGTTGGAATCTGTTATTTTTTTTCATTGTTTTAAAATCTACCATATAAACTATTAATTCTTATTAAATATGCTCTGCCTTTTTCTTTTTAGGGAACAAATAAAGAGAGTTAAAGACTCCGAAGATGTCCCAATGGTGCTAGTAGGAAACAAATGTGATTTGCCTTCCAGAACAGTAGATACGAAACAAGCTCAGGATTTAGCAAGAAGTTATGGAATTCCTTTCATTGAAACATCAGCAAAGACAAGACAGGTAAAGCTCAAAACTTACCAGATACAAGTGCAGAACTCTCATCAGAATTATAATGTTAATTATTCAAGGCATTGACAATTGCTTGTTTGTATCAATAGATAGATTTCTCCAGAATAGAAATTCTTGTGGTGTCTCTTCTTTCTGTCAACTCACTGGCAGCTGGTAATTGTTTATTAATGAGTGATTTGCTTCAGTTGCACAACTCAAGGAATGAGACCTGACCTGCTATTGCTCTGCACTGTCAGATGGTTGCAGCATTCTTAACTTTGTGATAAGTTTTAATAACATAAAAAGCACTTCTACTTAGATGTGAGATGTTTTTTCCTCAGCAAGAGTATTAAGTAGACAAACAGCTAATTAATTTATTCTGGTTTGTCTTTTCATTAATAACAAAAGGAATTTTTTTGAGGCATTGATTCGGTGTTAGTGGCACATGCTTGATATACTGGTTTAGAGCTAAGCAATTGACTATAATCTTTTTTTGGAATTACTGGATTAATTACTTGTGTAAACTGATAGTCTAAGACTAGAGCTCACTGTTGGTTTATTGTACCCCACAGGTATAGGTAAAAGAGGCAGCCATTAGGGTCCTGTCAGTGCTTCTCTCCAGGTTTGCTAGGACAAAGGTGTACATAGTTGTACATCTGTGCATTTAGGAGAAGATAAGATAGACAGATGTAGAGGAAACTAGTTTTGTACTTCTGGAAGAAAGCATTCTTTTTACAAAATGCCCATTTGTGGTTTTTCTCGTAAGAGTTAAAACTTACTATGAGTAGAGATTGGCTCAGTCCTGAGTGGCTGAACTTGTACTCCCTACGTAATCGGAACTATCATGTGCAGATTATGAATCAGGAATTAGGTGTAGCAGAAGGAGGCAAATAAGAGCAAAACACTGCAATTTCAGTAACTGCTAAATATAGTCAGCTGCATCACTTGTCAGAATTTTCTCACAGGCAATATGGAAGTTACTTTTGGATATAAGAAATTAAAATTTTATTAGTGTGAATTTGCTGCACCCTCCCAAATTTCTGACAAGTTGAAACCTAGACAAATTAGTAAAACTTTACAGAAGAATCAAAGGAATGCTAACTTTTGACAATAAAGTCTCTATTAGGTGGGATTAAAAAATCAGAGCTACACGGCTTTAATGGATGAGAATAAATTAGGACACAAGAGTGTTCTGAAGAGTGTGGCATATAAGTGGACTTAATTATTAATTACAGTGTTCTTGTTTGGAAGGTCCTGTATTAGTGGCTGTCACTGAGATGTTAGAATAAAAAAGGAAGAACTCTGAAATTATGTTTGAGGCTTGAAATAGTGAAGTTCTGTACTAACATCTAGATGTTACTTTGTTCAGCCTGTTTATAAAATAGTGTCAGGCTTTGAAGAAATACTCCTTTTGCATAGCCACTTTTTAATAAAAGTTTGTTGATATAATAGTGGATTTTCAAAGATTTCTTTTTCCCATCCCACCTGTAGTTTACTCCTCCTAGCAGCCCTGCCATGCCTAGCCAGTACAAAATAACATGCTCAAAAACCACCACTCCAGTTTTACAATCTTTGTTTACAATAAGTAATATCTGCTTTTTTATCTTTTAGACTTTTAAGAGGTCTGCTGGAGGTTTGTACTTGTTTCAGAGGACAATGGATCAGTCATATGAACTGTCATTCTGTAATTTAGCTGCTTTTATCTGTGACTTTATATTTCTGGAGGTGCCAACTGAAATGTTACAGAAGGGATCTGACTGGCTTTTGTTTATCAAAGCTGAGCTTTACACCCTCTACAGATAAGGAGTCCCTAAAGGTGTCTTGTGGATTTTAAAATAAAGATACCCAATAGGCTGTTTTGAGAATGTTGGCTTTTTAAAAAATTGGAACCCCAAGGTATGACTGCTGATTGTTTAGCAGTGCTGGTCATAATATGTTGTGTTATGAAACTCCTTCATAAGATGATGTGTTAACAAAATATTTTTGAGAAGACAAAAAGGAATTAGAGGAAGAACCTGATGTTTAATTAAAGCGAGATCATCTAAATATTTGTGTGTGTGTGTGTGTGTGTGTGTGTGTGTGTGTATATATATATATATATATATGTATATATATATGCATACATATGCATACATATGCATTGACATGATATTTCAGTCACACTGTCATATATGTATATATACCTTCTTCCAAAGTAACTTTTTTAATTAGGGGATTCAAACCATTTTGAGAGCTGCATGTGGTCTATGAACTAGATTTTTATTGGGCAGAATTCAGTCCATGGCTATAAACAGACAAATAAATCTGGTCCTCTCTGGTTACATGCAGAACTTCCAAGTATGAACAGATGTATTTAGTGGTCTGGTAATTCTGGAGTCTGTAGAAAGTCTGACATGAATATTTAGCAGTAGGAACCTTCTTTTCCTTTTTTGTACACACCTCCTACCACACTGAAATGCCAGAAATAATGCCCTGACATGTTGCTTCAGCCCTTGCCTGTGCCCCACTTCTGCTGGAACTCAAGAGAATCCAAAAGGCTTCTGGGGAAGTAAACAGGGGAGATGGAAATGGAAAGGAGTTGTCCATGTAGTCTGTTTTGACTGCCAAGACACTTAAAAATTATGATATTATATGCTTGTGCAGAATGATAGTTCAGTTCCAACTAAGTCAGTTTTTAAGATTTTCAAAAATTCATAGACAAGGTCAAAAATAGGAGAAGAAAAACACTGAAATGAAGAAATAAGTTGTTCTAAAAGTTAGTGTGTTTTTATTTTTATTTGGTTGTGACTGGCAATAAAGATGTAAACTGTAACTTACTGCAAAAAAACCGTTACTATAAGCCAGATCCCTGTGAATTTTCATACAAATCATTGAGTTCACCAGTGAAACGTTCACTTAGTGGACCCTGCGACTTGGGTATAAAGCCACAGATTACTAATTTTTTAAAATTAGACCACTGAAATGGAAATAATGTAATTTATGAAAAAAAGCCATAGTCCTATTTCTAAACATAAATGTCAATACTGGTGGTTTTGTAAGGCATGTTGAATCACTTACACTCATCCTTTTACTATTCTTATGCAGAAGGGTATGAACTTATGTTTTTGATAACTTTCTTTGCTTTTCTCTGTTTGAGGCAGGCATTAAACTCAAGTTCTTCCCTGTCCACATGAGCATATTGCTTCCAATATTTATCAGTGAGAGATGAGAGGCAAACCGGGTTTATCCCCATCAGGGCTGTGTCACTGGGCTTTCATTTGCCTGTCAGTTACACAAGAAAAACCTCTAAGGGGGTACCCCAAATCTGGTTTGATTGTAGGTTTTTGTCTTCCTTGGAACATTTTAACTGTCCTGCTAGTATTTAATTCAAAGGAAAAGTATATATATGGGCATTATTGTAAGCATAGTAAAGGATTCCCCAAAGCATTAGGTCTCGTTGCTGAGAATATATACTTAAACACAATTTTGAAGTGTCAGTGAAGAAGTTGACCTAAATCACAAGGATGCTGGTAAAAAAGCATTATAGTTATTTCAGCTGTCTCATGAACAATAGGTTAGGCTCCAAACTTGTGACAAAAGTAAGTTGAGAACGTGTGCCTGGTCTGATGACGTAATCAGTGCAGTATTTACAGAATTTCATTCCTACATTTCAGTTAAGATTCACGAATAACTATAATAACTTAGTTTGCTTGGACAAACTTGCCAGCTCTAGGGATTTGTCATAACTGTTCAATAATATTGTATGTTTTACTCCAAGCCATTTTTAATGTAGTTCATGTGTACAGGTTCTGTTTTATAACTTTATTTTCAATTAGTTATAACTTTGTCAGACTTCAGTGTGGGTTGAGTTTTTTTGAGTTTTTTCATGTCACTTGTTTGTTCTAAGGTAAAACTTTTCCAAAAAAGCTTAGTCCTTGTCAAGAACAGGGCCTAAAAGAAAAAGTCTGGATAATGTTGAAACAAATGCTGGCATCCAGCTTGTGTGCTGAATGACTCCAGGATCCTGAGGAAACAGGTTTGTTATTTACCCAACGTAAAGATTAAACAGGTGCAGCAAAAAAAGGATATATGTGCACAATAGGTGAAATTCAGGTAGAACAGACAGCTGTAATTCTGGCACTTCTTAACTTTGGAGTGATTAGCTTTGTAACTTTATAATTTTGTCCAGTATTTAATATTAATTTACTATGTCTGGTATTTAATCATCATAAGATAACATTGGCTAGGCTGACTTGACCACTGTGAAGTTTTATGTTGGGAGTGCTTTTATGCAAGTGAATAGCGTTCTTTTTGCTTGTGTCTTCATGAACAATTTTATTTGTCTAACAATTGGTTTTAGGAGACCAACTCAGATAAAGTGTATAAAGGTGGGCATAGAACAAGTTTGAAGTGTCAAGGCTAACTTTCATTCATTTCCTTTAAGCACTATTTACAGAGGTGGAACATACAAAGATTCCTGTTTGTACTTTGGTCTGTATTTGAAATAGACTTTCTTTGCACATAGCCAAACATTAAATTTAAAATATGGCTGTCTTCTAGGAGTCAAAAGCATCTTGAAAACTTTGCCTCAAGGTCATGAGTTCTTTGGGCTGTTTAGATTTTGAAGCTTTTAATATCTGGCAAAGGATATCTTTGCTTCCAGTTCTGACAGCTAAAAGGACTGGTTAATCATATTTGAAACACACGGTCCATGCTTATTTAAGGAAAAAAAACACTGAAGAATCTTAAAAGAAATTGGTATTAAAATGACTTCTTAAAGTTTATAAGACTGGCACCTGGCTCTTTAAAATGTCACCTTGTACTATTGAAATTAGCTAATGTATCTCTACAGATTTTATTTCGGAATAATTTTTCAACAGGATTTGTAAGACTGTTCTTGGTGGTGGCATTAGTAGCAGTTTCTTTTCTTGCTCTGTGTCTCTACCTCTCTCTGCATTCCTAAAGCAAATTACAGCTCGTATTGGTGATGGGAAAGTTGGCAATAAGTGTTGACTGAAGAATTGATATCTGAT